AGGAGGATGGAATGTGATTGGTATAAACGGTCTGACGTCACGTTTTATACGGGCTTAGAGATGGGAGCCAGGAGAGAAGACGTATCGTCTGCAGATGATCGGGTCGACGTAAGACAATAACCAAAGGGCGAACTCCAGAATACGGGCACACGAATGGGATCTTTATTCGAGCCTCAACGCAGATGACAGCAAACGGACGGCAGAAGGCTCGCAACAGGCGCGGACTGATCGTGCTAGATTCTCTGCCCCGGACATGAGCGTGCGGACCCTATTTATCCTCTACCCTCAGCACTGCTCTAGCGCACGCGTCCGGCGACATGTAGGTTACAAACACGTTGCCAATTATACCGATATTTCTCTCTCTTACGACCGGTGGGTGATTGGGCCGTAAAGCCATTCGATGCGCCTTGATTCGGTATATTGCTACGACTCTAGCTTTAGTAATACGGCCAGCATTTAGTGACACCGCGTCCGATGTCCTATGCAGCTGGCTAAGGTACCTGGGAAGCGCCTGTGCTCGCGTATAAGCACATCTACAATATATATTTTAATTCAGGTATAAATTTGCTCGCTACACTATCTACCTGATCTATCTATCTATCCTATCTATCTATCTATCTATCTATCTATCTATCTATCTATCTATCTATCTATCTATCTATCTACTACGTTCTATCGATCTATCGATCTACTATTTATCTATCTGACTCTATCTATTCATCTATCTATCTATCTATCTATCTATCTATCAATCTATCTATCTATCTATCTATCTATATCTATCTATCTACTATCTATCTATCTATCTATCTATCTATCTATCTATCTATCTATCTATCTATCTATCTATCTATCTAATCTATCTCTCCCTCTCTCTCTCTTTATCTATCTATCTATATCTATCTCTCTATCTATCTATCCATCTATCTATCTATCTATCTATCTATCTATCTATCTATCTATCTATCTATCTATCTATCTATCTATCTATCTATCTATCTATTATTATCTATCTATCTATCTATCTATCATCTATCTAATCTCTATCTATACAGTACCAAGTCAGTGCAAGCTGAATCTGTTTTGACAATAGTTTGCTGCAGGGCCGTTCACGTTTTTTTCCGTTTTTTCTCCCTGCAACTTCAGATGACCTCGGAGGTCAAATCCAATTGCCCATGACACTCAGCATTCAAAAGTTACCCTACTGAACACACCCTATTTCTAGAGTGCTCCATATTGATTTGCATTGAGAACAGACAAACAAACGACATACATTCACAAATATGCATTAGATATGCTTATCACGTGTTTGCAATGAAATCTAAAACTCCGTGATCATAATGTGTAGGTAGTAGTAACTTAATTGTAACTTGGTGAAGATTAAAATGCATCATACCTTTTGTAGGTCGTCCAAACGTCTCGTTTTATCGCGTTACTCTTATTTTTTACTCTTGAATCAATTGACAGCAAACACTTAACAATTGTGTATTTCTGTTTCCCTGTTTGAGGGGTTTATTGTAACTGTACATTGTTAATTCGCACTGTTCTATAATTAATTAATTAAATTAATTTCGTTCGCAATTGTACAATGATTACAGTTTGTTTTTATTGAAGTGGTCTTTTTCGTACCTACTCTGCTGTAAGCATTGTTTTCACGATTTCGTCAGCAGACAAGTGGAGCAAGACGAGAAGCAAAAAATTGGCGAGATTTGCAGAACGAGAGATAGCAGCGAAAGAGGAGGGTTAGAGGCTAAACGTGGGATATAATAATGGATATGGAACGAGAAGTGCGGCAGTGCCCGAAGGGGAAGAAAAATGGAAGGCGATGATCAGTTGAAAAGGAAAAGACGGACGATAAACGGAATATAGATGCAAGGGATGTCGCGAGCGAATTCGGCGGGGATAGCTGGGTGCATCTACGTACATGAATATACTATAGAATTCTGATAGTAATACAGTAGTTAAACAGTTCATTCGGGATAACTACATGCTCTGTACTATATTATACATTTTGATTTAATTTGATATGTTATTAGTTACTGAACGCATTACTTGCAAACAATGTCATGTGCACTTAAAATGAAAAATGTATCTCGAAACAGATTCATTTACATGGTTGTTCTTCATATTAATTTCTATTATATTTATATAATTATATTATATTATATTATATATATATTATATTATATTATATTATATTATATATATAATATATATATTATATTATATTATATCTATATTATATTATTTATTATAATTATATTATATTATATTATATTATATTATATTATATTATATTATATTATATTATAATTATTTATATATATTATATATATTATGTATTATATTATATTATAATATATTATATTATATTATGTTGTATTATATTATATTATATTATATTATATTATATTTATTATATTATATTATATATATTTCATGTTATGTTATTTTATTTTATTAAGTTATATTATATTATATTTATACTATTAAATATATATATCATATACAAAATTCCTATTTGCGTAAATCGTTATATGAATGCTAATGTATTTAATATATCTAAAATAAACAGATTCGTAAGCTAAATGTCGATTACTACATTATGAGGACAATTACGTAATTGTCTTGTTTGTCAACGATCAGCCAGGTAAAATGTCCGGGCGTGTCGGCTGTTTGACAGTCATTGAATGTTCGCCGAACTGAGGTACATACATGGTGTCGCAGCGCGTGGCGTTTCACTTCTCTGTATATCATATATTAATATATATATGTAATTATATATTATATATTATATATATTAATATTATTTTTATTATATATATATATATATAATTATATACATGTATATATATATTGTTCCCAAGCCATCGCGTACTGCAATCAACTGCGTTTGCTATTGGAATGACATCAAACGTTGGCCGCGCTGCTGTGAAGCCGTTGGCGTAGCCGTTGCTAGGCAGCGTTCTTTGTTCATTGCATTTCAATTTCGTTGTAGAACAGACCGCTTTTCTACTCCTCATATAGCTCGTTTGTTGCACGCTAGATTGTTCAAAGTAAAACCTTCATATAGTGATAATATTTACGTCCTTGTATAGTGTCAGAAAGAGGCGAAGAACTCAAGAGAAATCGTATAAAGCATCTGTGCTGGTGTCTCAAGTAGTGCAGCCCTAGTGGGCTGTGCGTGTGAATCCACGCTCTGGACATCCAGAGGTGCTTGTGTAGAAACTCACCGGACAATATGTCGTTTAGACCTTGTGTGATGTGTTTTCTAGCGTGCCTGCCTATGATTTACGGCCAGTCCATCTGTGGGAAAACGTAAGACAAATATTTACGATACTAGATTACATTTGAGTTTGTTTATATGCGAAATATATGAAAAAAAATATGCTAATGATATATAGATGTAAAGAATGAATATCACGCGGTAGTATTATATACGTGTGTAATACCCTGCTTGCGCGCGTGCGCGCGTGTGTGTGTGCTGGGTATCGGTGGTGTGTGTGTGTGTGTGTGTGCTGGTGTGTGTGTGTGTGTGTGTATGTGCGCGCGCGCGTGTGTGTGTGGTGTTGGGGGCGTGTGTGTGTGTGTGTTGTGTGTGTGTGTGTGTGTGTGTGTGTGTGTGTGTTGTGTGTGTGTGCATGTGTGTGTGTGTGTGTGTGTGATGCATGTGTGATGCGTGCGTCGGTGTGTTTGTGTTTGTGTTGTGTGTACGTGCGTGTGTGTGTTGCGTGCGCGCGCGTGTGTCTGTGTGATGCACGTGTAACCTGTGTGCATTGGACGTGGTTTTATTATATATTTATATATATATTTATTATATGTCGTATAAAAGCTTTATAGGAATATAACCGTATAACTACTATAAAGATATTTCATTATTCTAATTATATATAATGCAAATAAATATCCGATGGTAAAAATGTAATGTAAATAAGAATAACGTGAATGATGGTTGTATTATTGTTCTGCAGAAATCAGTCTTGTCTGTGTGTGAGGGCGTGCGAGCGCGCGTGGAAATCTGTGCGCGTGTGATTTTCTGTGTGCGTGGCCTGCGCGCATACCTGTGAACGCGCGCACGTTTGCGAACATGTGTGCGTCTGTCTATGTCTGTTTGCGTATGATGTGCGCTATGTGTGTGTGTGTAGTGTGTGTGTGTGTTGTGTGTGCTGGTGTGTGCGTGCGTGCGCGCGCGTGTGTGTGTGTGTGTGTGTGTGTGTGTGTGTGTGTGTGTGTGTGTGTGTGTGTGAGTCTTCCTCTCCCTCTCTCTCGCGCTCTCTCTCTCTCTCTCTCTCTCTCTCTCTTCTCTTCTCTCTCTCTGGGGGTGTCTCTCTCTGGCACCCTCTCTCTCTGTGTCGGCTCTCTACCCTCTCTCGTGTGCGTAGGTCTCTCCCCTTTCTCTTTCTTCCCCCCTCTTTGTGTATGTGTATGTGTATGTGTATGTGTATGTGTATGTGTATGTGTATGTGTATGTGTATATGTTTATGTATATGTATGTATATATATGTGTATATGTATATACGTGTGACTTATTTTCGCTCGTATGCGCACAAACTCGTCCAAGGCATTTGCAATCTAATCGTGAAGGCTCACATGTCGATCCGATGCCAGCTCCCATCTGTGGCAGAACGTGAATCGTGTCGACTCTAGTAAAAAGCTGTGTCGGAAGGCAGCAACTCCACTCGGTACGACAGCATGTGTGCGTGCGTGTGTGCGTGCATGCGTGCATGCGTATGTGTGCGTGTGTGCGTATGCGTGCGTGTGTGCGTATGTGTGCGTGTGTGCGTCTTATACACTGTATCTTTGGTCATTGCTGCTTTGCGGTGATTACCACGCTGCGAGTGAAAAGAGGTGCTCTCATTCTGTCACCAACGGTCACTTCTCAATAGTGCCTACTTTTGTCGTGCCAGGTTAACGGGGTTGTTGACCGTGTCGCGAACGCCGGTGTTTCATTTATATACTCTACGCCCCCAGGAATCATCGTTCCAGTTGTCGCGCACGCTTAGAGGTCTGTAAGCTGTAGCACGCACACTGCTGCGTTAACCGGCCTGGCTCTCTTGCTACACTGTAGTGTCATTTACATGATACAGGTAGACGGCGTGTCTGTCCTACGCTGCTACAGGTTAAAGTGTTGAGACTCGACGAATGGCTGGAGCAATATGAGACATGGCCGAGAGCGGCGTAATCGTATCTTATGAGTTTCATCAGCATGTATATCCGTGTAGTACGTTGTGTGTGGTCCTAATAAAATTCCTTCGTCGAGGAGACTAGGAGCATTGTGAAAGACAGCAAGTGACGTTAATGAAATGGATTCCTTGAGGATTACTTAAAGTCGTTTAGATTGGATATTCAGAAACATTCTATACCGAGAACTGTTCTAATATTATCCTGCTTCTGTTGATTCGACAAGCGTCTGTAGTTGAACTACCAGTATGTCTGTGTACGATACACTATCATGAGCGCGTATTCGGTTGACGTGTACGCCCCGCGGTGGCGGAAAATTCATGGTAAACACGTTTGCGACATCACATGTGATCGTGCAGCTAAAATCGACGCGGGTTGTAGTGACGTGGTAAGCGTCGGCCGCAGTAGTCGGACCGACCTTTCAAGTAGGGACGTTGCACCCAGTACACGTGACGACCTTTGCGATGATGCTCTCAAACATGAAGACACTATCTGGCTGTGCGTGTTGCTTGTCAAACATCCGCGTGCAAGCTTTGGTATGTATCTTTACTAGTATTGATGGGTTGTCAATATAAAAACGGAGGTAATGATCTATCCCGCCTTCTCCATCTCTCTCTCTCTCTCTCTCTCTCTCTCTCTCTCTCTCTCTCTCTCTCTGTCTCTATCTCTCTATTTACCCCCTAACCCCCTCTTTATCATTAATGTAATATAATATAATAGAAATGTAATATGAAGAACAACCATGTAAATGAATCTGTTTCGAGATACATTTTTCATTTAAGTGCACATGACATTGTTTGCAAGGTATGCGTTCAGTAACTAATAAACATATCAAATTAAATCAAAATGTATAATATAGTACAAGACATGTAGTTATTCCCGATGAACTGTTTAAGTACTTATTTACTATTCAGAATTCATAGTATATTATGTACGTAGATGCACCCAGCTATCCCCCCGAATCGCTCGCGACATCCCTTGCATCTATATTCCGTTTATCGTCCGTCTTTTCCTTTTCACATCATCGCCTCCATTTTTCTTCCCCTTCGGGCACTGCCGCACTTCTCGTTCCTAATCCTATTATTATATCCCACGTTTAGCCTCTAACCCTCCTCTTTCGCTCTTATCTCTCGTTCTGCAAATCTCGCCAATTTTTTGCTTCTCGTCTTGTCCACTTGTCTGCTGACGAAATCGTGAAAACAATCTTACACAGAGTAGTAGCGAAAAAGACCAACTTCAATAAAAACAAACTGTAATCATTGTACAATTGGAAGAAATTAATTTAATTAATTAATTAATAGAACAGTGCGAATTAACAATGTACAGTTACAATAAACCCCTCAAACAGGGAAACAGAAATACACAATTGTTAAGTGTTTGCTGCAATTGATTCAAGAGTAAAAAATAAGAGTAAACGCGATAAAACGAGACGTTTTGGACGACCTACAAAAGGTATGATGCATTTCAATCTTCAACCAAGTTACAATTAGGTACTACTACCTACACATTATGATCACGGAGTTTTAGATTTCATTGCAAACACGTGATAAGCATATCTAATGCATATTTGTGAATGTATGTCTGTTTGTTTGTCTGTTCTCAATGCAAATCAATATGGAGCACTCTAGAAATAGGGTGTAGTTCAGTAGGGGTAACTTTTGATGCTGAGTGTCATGGGCACATTGGATTTGACCTCCGAGGTCATCTGAAGTTGCAGGAGGAAAAAAACGGAAAAAACGATGAACGGGCCCCTGCAGCAACATATTGTCCAAACAGGATTCAGCTTGCACTGACTTGGTACTGTAGTAGATAGATAGATAGATTGATAGATAGATAGATAGATAGATAGATAGATAGATAGATAGATAGATAGATAGATAGATAGATTGATAGATAGATAGATAGATAGATAGATAAATAGATAGATAGATAGATAGATAGATAGATAGATAGATAGATAGATAGATAGATAGATAGATAGATAGATAGATAGATAGATAGATAAATAGATAGATAGATGAGATAGATAGACAGATAGATAAATAGTAGATCGATAGATCGATAGAACGAATAGATACGCCATAGATAGATAGATAGATAGATAGATAGATAGATAGATAGATAGATATAGATGAGATAGGATAGATAGATAGATCAGGTAGATAGTGTACGCGAGGCAAATATTATACCCCGGCCGCCCGGGCGCGCAATGAATAAAATACTATATTGTAGAATGTGCTTATACGCGAGCACAGGCGGCTCCCAGGTACGCTAGCGCAGCTGGCAAGACATCGGACGCGGTGTCACTAAATGCTGGTCCGTATTACTAAACTAGAGTCGTAGCAATATAACCGAGATCAAGGCAGCAATCGAATGGCTTTACGGGCCCCAATCACCCACCGTCGTAAAGAGAGAGAAACTATCGGTATAATTGGCAACGTGTTTTGTAACCATATCATGTCGCGGCGGACAGCGTGCGCTAGGAGCAGGTGGCGAGGGTAGAGGATAAATAGGGTCCGCACGTCTCATGTCCGGGGCAGAGAATCTAAGGCAGATCAGTCACGCGCCTAGTGCGAGCCTTCTCCGCGTTTGCTGTTCAATTCTGCGTGAGCTCGAATAAAGATCCCATCGTGTCCCGTGTACTTTCTGGAGTTCGCCTTTGGTTATTGTCCTTACGGTCGACCCGAATCATTCTGCAGACGATACGTCTTCTCTCCTGCTCGCCATCTCTAACGCCCGTAAAAACGTGACGTCAGCACGTTATACCAAATCACATTCCATTCCTCCTCACTCTTCTTGTGTAAACGTCAACGCCATGCAGTATATATATCAGGAGTAGATAAAGGGTCCACTATTATCTACTCCTGATATATATATTATAGAGAGAGAGAGAGATGAGAGAGACAGAGAGAGAGAGAGAGAGCAGAGAGAGAGAGAGAGAGAGACAGAGAGAGAAGAGAAGAAGAGAGACGAGAGAGAGAAGGATATATATATATAATATAGATAGATAGATAGATTAGATAGATAGATAGATTAGATAGATAGATAAGATAGATATATAAGATAGATAGATAGATAAGAATAGATAGATAGATAAGATAAGATAGATAGATAGATTAGATAGATAGATAGATAGATAGATAAAGATAGATAGATAGATAGATAGATAGATAGATAGATAGATAGATAGATAGATATGATAGATAGATAGATAGATAGATAGGATAGATAGATAGATAGATAAGATAGATAGATAGATATAGAATAAATAGGTTTTTTGGGGTATTTTATCTTGTCAACCCAGTGGCACCAACAAAAACTAAGTGCTTTATTTCGCGCGGCAACGCAGAGTATCCTGCTAGTACTAGTATTTCTTTGATTAAAGCTGGGTTTGACTTTTAGTTGATAGATGCTTTTCATTTATATTTATGTTGTATATCTCTCCTGACGCTGGCAGGCGACCCCGCCTGAAACACGTGCCGAATAGTGCACGTAAAACTCTAAACAATCGGCTTAGAAGTTGACGGAGTCGTAGAACCTTAGTGACATACCTATGCCAATCACCGAGTGGCACGTTACTCTGTTGTAGCGCGTGAAAGAAAACATAAAACTGATCCATAAATGTTAAGCTGTTGTTCGTACGTACAAAACTGTTACGCTGTATAATATATATATATATATATGTATAGCGAACAGTTTTTGTATGTGTGTGTGTGTGAGTGTGGTGTGTGTTGTGTGTGTTGCAGTGTGTGTGTGTGTGTGTGTGTGTGTGTGTTGTGTGTGATGTGTGTGTGAGCTATGTTAAATAGGCGTAACAAGTAAAGCGAATGACAAAATAAGGCAGACAATGCGCCGCAAATGAATCAATAAAGAGCCGAACGGAAACCTAAAAACCTGTGTTGATAGTATTCTATTAAATGGTAATAATTACTTATTGTCATATATCACGTAAAGGCGTATATATTCGCTCAGCAATCACTGTAAAATCTGATTAACATGAACATTAATATCCTCCTGCATGTGTCAACGTTGCCGATTTCACCGATCTGCCTTCGGTGAGAAATCAGACACAAGCAATTAACACAGTAAAACTAATTTGGCGAATGGCGACTAGATCATTTAAATGACAGTAGGCTGGCCTGTGTCTGACAGTCTCTCGCACATGCACCACCAGGTAATGATCGCATTTCAATGAGAACTCGCGAGTCGCACATCAAGGTAGTTTCGCTGACAACCTATATGCTATCATTCCATGGTTTGTCGTTACCCGATGAACTCCGAGTCGCTACGAACGCCAGCGGTTTCCTCGCCAAGCGAGGGTAGGAACCGCTCGTATCGTCGCTAAGCATACTAGGCAGCTGTTTAGTTCTAGCAAAACATTATGAGATTCTGGTAAAGGAGCAAGCACAAGGACGAACCTTATTTTACACATAAGCTTTATATTCGACCGTATACTATATCATATATATTTATATATTATATAAGGGGCCTATATATTATATATTATACATATGTACAGGTATACTCTATAATGCATAAGGTGCTATGTGTATGTGTATGTGTATGTGTATGTGTATGTGTGTTTATGTGTATGTGTATGTGTATGTGTATGTGTATGTGTATGGTGTAGTGTGTTGTGTATGTGTATGTGTATGTTGGTATGTGTATGTGTATGTGTATGTGTATGTGTATGTGTATGTGTATGTGTATGTGTATGTGTATGTGAATGTGTATGTGTATGTGTATGTGTATGTGTATGTGTATGTGTATGTGTATGTGTATGTGTATGTGTATGTGTATTTGTATGTGTATGTGTATGTGTATGGTATGTTATGCTGTATGCTGTATTGTGTTATTGCGTCATGTGATGTGTATGTGTAGTGTATGTGTATGTGTATGTGAATGTGTATGTGTATGTGTATGTGTATGTGTATGTGTATTATGTGTTTATGTGTATGTGTATGTGTATGTGTTGTGTATGTGTATGTGTAAATGTGTATGTGTATGATGTGTATGTGTATGTGTATGTGTATGTGTATGTGTATGTGTATGTGTATGTGTATGTGTATGTGTATGTGTATGTGTATGTGTATGTGTATGTGTATGTGTATGTGTATGTGTTGTGTATGTGTATGTGTATGTGTTATGTGTTATGTTGTTATGTGTATGTGTATGTGTATGTGTATGTGTATGTGTATGTGTTATCGTGTATGCTGTATGTGGTATGTGTATGTGTATGTGTATGTGTATGTGTATGAGTGTATGTGTATGTGTAGTGGTATGTGGTATGTGTATGTGTAATGTTGTATGTGTATGTGTATGTGTATGTGTATGTGTATGTGTATGTGTATGTTATGTGTATGTGTATGTGGTTATGTGTATGTGGTATAGTGTATGTGTGATGTGTATGTGTATGTGTATGTGTATGTGTATGTGTATGTGTAAATGTGTATGTGTATTGTTATGTGTCTATGTGTAAGTGTGTATGATGTGTATGTGTATGTTGTATTGTAATGTGTATGTGTTATGTGTATGTGTATTGTATTGTGTATGTGTATCGTGTATGTGTATGTGTATGTGTATGTGTATGTGTATATGTTTTATGTATAATGTATGTATATATATGTGTATTATGTATATACGTGTGACTTATTTCGCTCGTTATGCGCACATACTCTGTCTCAAGGCATTTTGGCAAATCTAATCGTGAAGGCTCACATGTCGATCGGTCGATCGCCTCCCAGCTCCATTCTGTGGCAGAACGTGAATCGTAGTCGCACTCTAGTAAAAAGCTGTGTCGGAAGTCAGCAACTCCACTCGGT